GGATTTCCATCTCTTAAATATGCTACAGATGTGTTTAAGGTAAAGTCCGGCTCACTTCGTGGGGTTTCCAAATCAGGTCCTTCTACTGTGGCCTTTGAAGGATGTTGTGTACCTCAAAAGGATAAAGTGTAAAATCCTGGTTGTCTTTAGCAATCAGCCTGGGTCACCAAGTGCTGAATAGAAACGAGGTCAAAAGTGCCTGCTTAGGAATAGAATACATGTCGTCTTCGCCCATTAGTGGTTTATATAAGTAATATTAACCATTTTCCCCAATGACAGGTTATGCATCCTAGTTTACCCACCAACAAAAGTGAAATCAATTTCTTTGAAACAGGCATACTCTACCTACCCTGACCTGTGGAGGTGCATTTCCATTAAGGTTCACTGAGCCCCCTTGTAGGATTATCTATTGATTTAGGGTGACTGTGGGAACAGTGGTATATGGCAGGAACTGATTGGTCTACTCCCTCCCCCCTTAACATTAGAAAATGTCCCTGGCTGAGGTGAGACCTCTGGTGTAGTACTTTTTAAGATGTAAAAATGAAGGAGTGTTATATGAGTCATGCACAGTAGGCAGGCACCCCACCTGTGGCTTAAGGGACCAGATTAGAAGATTATGTGACCTGAGACAGTGTTTATCCTTACGGTAGTGGTTTATCTTGGTGTTTATCCCAATAGTAGTGGGCTCATACAATATTTGTTCTTTGTAATGGACTAACTTTACTCAGCATAATGGTTTCCAGGTCTCCCTATGTCTTGAGGTGCTTCATGGTTTCAGTACTGTTTTTAGAGATCCACGTTATTCTATAATATTGCTGCATATAGGATTCACAAGTGTCAGTTTTTCCCTCAGAATCCCATTGTCTTCTTGCCTGAATTGTTTCTGTCAAGCTTATTTCTACTGGATTTCCTGTGTAGGTGACTGTTCCTTTTCTCCCAGCTGTACTTAGGAAAATCGGTTTTTCCTTGAAATTGGAATTGGACTGTGATATGTCATGATGTTCTTTTAGGATGTATCCTTTTTTTAGTTGTTTCATCGTCTTGAATAGTTATTTTCTCTTCCTTTAATGGTATTGTAGAAGTGTCCTTCCATAATTTCTCATACTATAATCGCTAGATTTTTTTGTCTTTTTGCTCCAGAATCTCAGTGAGATACATATAGGTTGTTTCTCTCGATAGTGCCCCTCATCACTTTCAGGCTTTCTTCATATTTCTTTGCTTTTCTTGTTGATTATTTCTCTCACTACTTATGGTCAGAATAATTAGCTAAAGCTCACTGAACCAGTTTTCATTATTTTCCATTATATTACTCAGGTTTTTTACCATGCTGTCTAATTTTGTTATCTTATTGTCATATCTTCGGATATTCCTTTTATTATGTTTTTTCTAGTTTTTCTTTTCTTTCATTCTCAGAAGCATTTTCCATACCTTGAATTCACCTAAACATCATTCTTTTGGATTCTAATTCTGATAATCCCAAAGCATCTAATTCTGAGTACTCCATTGAGTTTGGGTGATTTTCAGTTGTTTGTGCTTATCTTTCTTGTTTTTTTGCTTGTACTGTGGTTGAATGCTATTTCTGCCACATTAGTGGTTGGTGGGATACTGACTCATGTAGGGGTAGTTGGCTCTGTTGAGTAATATAGGAGAGAGCTAGTAGAAGCCAGGTGTGTTAGTCTGGGTTGATTAGAGAAACACATTCATAGCAAGAGCTTTATATAAAGAGTAATTGTATATTAGAAAACATCCCAGATCAAGTCCATATATTAGCCCCTATGTCCAATATGAGTCTATGAATTCCTCTTCAGACTCACGCATCACA